TAAGTGTTTATTAAGAAACGAAGCATCCACAAATATCGAAGAGAAGTAACACAAGACAATCATAGACGTGACGCCCTGTAGCGCGTAGCATTTTAAAAACTGACCGTTAAATTACTTTGGAAGTAGTACACAAGTAATGTTAGAACTGGTTAATAACATCGGACGTTAAGACGAAAATCACCATTTTTCTAGGGCAAATATCAAAACCTGTAGAACTTGCTGTTTTTGATCCCAGGATGCAGCGACTGCCATATGCTCTTTCGTACTCTTGTTGTGCCTGTGTCAGTGTAGTGGTAACGCGTTTGCCTGCTCAACCGAGAGTCTACCTGGGTTTAAACGTCTTTGTTGGACGTAAATACACTCCGTTTTCTTGTCGAAAACCAACTCTTAAGCTGAGCCTGAACTACTTATTTCCTCTTCTTGCTGAAAGGTATCCTCCTTCGCTATTATCATTTCTGTTCCACAATATTGTTCCCACAACTTCGGGACGTTTTTTCGGCGTATGGTGAATCATCGATTAAGTTTACTTCTCAGATGTGCTCTCTAATCATACGTCTCATATCGAAATACGTTAGAGAAGCAGTGCCAGCACCGAGTGACGCTGCGCAGAGAAGCAGATGGGCGAATGCAGAAAATAACTAGAGCATCGAAAACTAGCGTTGTCCAGATAAATTCCAGTTTCTCTATATAGCCTTGATACAATAGATTACATGAATCGATTTACAGAGCTAGATCGTCAGGACCATTCCCTTGTAAATCTGCAGTGATATTTAAAATCTGTTATTTGTCTAGAACTTTTTCTAGAAAAGGTCGCACAGATGCTCACTTTTTCTATAGGGTAAAAAGAATAGAAATTTTTTTTTATTGCCGTAACGTTTGCCAAACTGTACTTTCGCAATATGCATCCTCTCGTCGAAGGCGGGTGTCCTGGTTTACAAGGCGGCAATCACGACATGTGTAAGATGCATGTGCCTATATGTTTGCGTGTTTAAACGAAAGTTCATCTCGATGTGTTTGGCCTTCTGCTATTGGGTCAAGTCCTTCATGAAATTTTCCTTGACCAATCTCCGCTTTTTATTTTATTGATGAGGTTAACGAGCGAGCGTTGGGACGAAGCCGTCTTGTACCCCTTAAAGATCATTTTCAAAATGCCCTGAGTTGGAGATGCTGCCTTTATTGTAGAAATGTCCTCTGACCGTGGTGGATATTTTTATTTCAATTTATCTTTTACTCCTCTGTGTAAACCACGTAAATGTGTCGTGATTGTTCTATAACCCACCACAACATGAATTTCGTGATCTATAACAACTTATTTTAATCAGAAATTACGACCTTTTTTGCATAGACATGGCAGCCAGCTGTATCACTAAAGACAAGATATGTATTAGAATATACGAAGAGACTTTTTTTTAGTAGAAATTTTCACAAATTTCGATGGCGGTACGGCGATCACCAGCAGTAGTGCTACGGGAGCCACTTGATGATGTCTAAGTTACTTTTCATCAAAGAATATTGAACATACATATTGTACGTTCAGTAGAACACAGCCTAAACTAGCATGTTAACACTTAATGTTAAGGCTTCCGTTTTTAAAAAATTTTGAGCAGCTCGACCCAAAGATCTCAGCTACTTATCAAGTAATCATTAGGCATTGAAAACGCTTGACTAAATTATATATACATATATTATATGTATATATAATTTATATATGTATCAGAACTATATATATATATATATATATATATAGTTCTTTATTTAGCTTTACGGTTTACCCGTATATTTTTATCAGTAATGAATGCAAATATACGGCAAACGTAGTACCCACGGCAAACAAACCACCTAGCAATATTGTCATTAGAGCGCATCTTTGTTTCGCCTATCTTGTATTCCTCGTATGCCAATAAATTATATAATTCCATTTTATTATATAATATATCAGCAGATGTTGTTGTAATTTTCGGGGTCGCGGTTGACAGTATATATACCCGTGTGTTTTTTCTTGCGCTTTTGTGTGCCTACATGTGTACGGACAACTTTTTGATTTTGTGTCCGCGTATTCGTTCACTCGGTTTATAAAATACGAAAAATACCGTCGCTAGAGGGAGTTCGACACTAATAATTGAAGAAACACTTCAGTGTCCTTTCGCTACAAGCATCAAATACGTATCTTGATCTAAGTTTTAAGTATGGATAGAGCCTACGGTAGCTGTTACGTCGTCACAAAACGGGGCTATGCCAAATGTTAAGGAACCAACTTTTGTTGAAAATGAACTGCGGATCAAGTGCACATAGTCTATACTATGTACGTAATCTCAGTCGTATAGTTCAGCTTGACCTAAGGCGTATGTGATTGATAATAAGGCGCTAACGTTGTCAAATGGGCGCTATGTTTAATATTTCTAGAAGACATCTATATAAACAGAGCATTGCTGCTTCCCACTGTTAACCTAAACGTTAATCGCCCACGCAATCCGCGCATGCGATGGAGTCCAGAACGATCCGCAAGAACGGTGTTGTCTGGCGGGAAGTTTAAAAATACGACAGTCTTCCGAGTTCTCTCAGAATCGTTGAGCTCTAATAGATCGAACCCTCAGGAACACCTTACTCTATATACCTAATTCACTTAGAGTTGTATAATTACTCACTATGTAAAAATTTTGCGACCAATGCTAATTATGTATCTATTAAGTAAGGACGGATGATTGTGTCAATTTGGAGAATGTAATAGTACCCTTAAGTAACTAACACCATTTACAATATTGCATAGTAATCATATACCGCAAAATGCCACACGGAGACATGTAGAAAGATCTGTAAATGTTATTACAACAGCTTTTGGGAAATTGTTATGTTTGTTTTCTGGAAGTTTTCGACTCCAAGACGTAGTCAACGACGAAGCGTTTGCGGAAACTGAAAACCATCAGATGATGCGACTGCTAGGGTCCTGCGTTTTCATGGATTTGGTCCCCGTTTCATCCTTGTTTCTCTCAGAATTTGGGTTTGGTGCGCTAGTCGTTTTACCACATGGCCATGCTTTGCCAAACAAGGATTTAGCCGAGCATTTAGAGACAATGCAGTTTTGTGCTTGCTATAATAGCTGAGAGGCCGCTTTGTTTGCCGTCAATCATTTCCTTAGGCAAATACGACCACAATTTTGTACGTCCATTCAGAATAAGCTAATTAAGTTCAGTTGGCTGTAAGTACTATACAATGTATCCATACAGTTCAATCCGTTGGCTCTTGTCCCCTTCCACGGCTTAAATTGCCAGTGCCAATTCCTACTAAGTCACCATTCTTTTTTGTTGTCATCATTTGACCTTTACACTAGTTCTCATTGGACATGAATAAATTTCTACGAGAGAAGATTGAAGGTGAATTTAACTTATTTTTGATGTATTTTACCTTAATATCATTGATTGAGAACGAACTGTGTAGTCGCATATGGATCGTTCAATGTGCTGCTTCTTGTGCACCCCTCCCATCATCACAATCGTTCTCATCCATAGACATGTGGGGCTAGATAGCAATGTTTATTATTCGACAAACAAAGATGATTCAATCAATAGATATATATATATATATATATAGATATATATATATATACTGATTAAACCAGTTCTGATCCATCGAAATGATCATTCGGGTTCGTGATCATTTGGGGTTACTGGTATCATAACTCATTTTTTTTCAATATAAATAACTATTTATGGCTTTATTTGTTTTGTCATTGGACGCAATTCAGATCGAAGCATTACGTAGCACTTATTCTTACCTCACATGTTTCCTCATCAGAAATACTTCTTGGCCGCTAATCCTACAGCTTCTAGTAAACCTTACCCTAGATAGAGTTACTATTATATCCTGTTTACTATCATTATTATGAATTGTTTGTACATTGTCATCTTCATCACAATCTGCCATCGAAAATAGCACCCAGAAACCTGATCGGAATCTTGCAATGGCCAGTTCACTCATGCCTGATAGAAATTACTGACTTTCTCAAAATGGGCCTACAGGACTAACCGTAGTCAAAATTCCAAACCTCAAAAAATCTTACGGACAAATAAACTCTTGCTGAGTTTCACTCCTATTTTGGAACTGCTGATGAAGTAGTCTGGCATATTCTTTTATGTGAATGATTGCCACGTTGGGCTTTTCTTGTTTGCTTGTTCGATTGGCTGGGCAAGTGTTCTCGGCTTCACAAACATCTTCACCATCGAGGTACAGTATGGGTTCGTGTTAATGTCACCGTTATAGTAATTCTTGTTAGCAGACGAGTCTGGATAAACTTTCGATTACCATTCAAACATGAAATAATAACCGTGCGTGTTTTTTTTTTTATATGGGACGTTGTACTCTATGGATTCTTGTCGGTTTACTTCGATTTGTCTTATTGTTCATCTGAACCTTTAATATCGCATCAGACGTACGGTAAGTACGAAAAGTGACATAATTGTAAAATGTGCGAGTATAACATACTTTAGATAATAAGATAAACTGTCGTAACAACACTCAAAATAAAAACACACTCGATAACGCCGTTTCTAATCGGTTCTATACGCTTCATTAAGTAAAATACCTAATTATATTATAATTGCCAATTAACTATGTGTAAAGGTAGACATGTGAACCTAACCTAACCTAACGTCCCTAAACACAAATGTGCCCAGTTGATCTAACGTCAATTTAATTATCTCTTGATAAGTTATAGCAAAAAAAATCACTTTCATTGTGTCTTAGGTCACAGGTAATAGACGGTGCCAATAACGGCCCACCCGTTGACTATAGCAAACTATGACGACCGCTACGTTGTCAAACCATTTTCGTTAACAAGAAAACTAGTATATTCTATCCTCTTTTGTGTGCTTTCTAACTTCATCTCAAAGATGCATCTTTTGCCGTGTGCTTATCGTCTTTACGAGAATGATCTTTCAGCATTCACCTTTTTCAACGAACGCGTCGCGGCCCTCGTTCTGTTCTGGGTCTCGTGGACAAACCATGACCATGAGTAACGTTAACTATATCGCTTTACATCTGTACATCTTTAGTATGTATATAGATGCCGGAAGAAGTCCGGACACTAACGGAACTTCTTTTTTCCTGCAGTTCATGCTAGAACTATCTAGCATTGCAGATTTGTTTCGCTTTAAGACACCCTGTCTCCTTCTGTAATAATCAACCTTTTCCGTTAACATCACTAAAGCCATTAAATAACTGTTTTTTAGGTACGCAAGTCCTTCACCAGCGGGACGTAATTTTATACGGGCGGTCCTTCGTGAGACAAATTGTCGATATAAACAATACTAATTTATGATTTCTATAGGTAGATACATAACTAGCTGTGATAGCCATGACGAGGTCCTGGCGCAGTGAACACATGGTAACAGCCTAGACACCCGGTCTAAACCCTCGCCGTAGGTAACTTTAACGGAGTCCTTTCCTCTTCACCGTTTCCAGGTTCCCCAATTTGGCCGCAGTGGTCGCTTCGTGTGCAATTGGTTGATAAGTCAATGTCAGGCCCTGAAAAAATGACAGTTATAGAGAGCGTCAGCAGACGACGATCAATAGCATTGACAGCACTACGGCGATGACTAGATTGATGCTCGAACGGTAAGAATCGCTATTTGTGTTCAGACTAGAAGAGACGATTCGGAAGGGTCGGTAGCCTATTTATAACACTGCACAATATTATTCGATTAGCATATTTAGTATATTTTTCAGCTTTAGTATATTTTAAAAACAAGGATTTGTCCCTTTACACACAAACCTGTGGTGAGACTGATCCCAAGATGTTTGTGTACTGTGAGCAGACCGGCTCCGAGCTGATTGCTCCCATTAGGTAAAGCTCCTGGTAGGGCACCGCCATTTCGTGTTCCATTGGTTCCCGAGGCCCCATTGGGACCACGCGTCGATCCTCCGCGGGTGCGACCGCCTGGGAACACGGAGTTCTCCACGTGGAGTTGTGCATTCACATCTTCAACCGAAATATTAACAGTGTTTAGTAAACAACTCAGTTTTCTTCAAAAGCAATGAAGTAACTAGTCTAATATTAATGGTTCAGGGATAACAACTTTAGCAGGCGACCCTTCTGTTGGAAATAAACATGAAGGTTGAAACCGAGAGCAAACAACTAAGGTCTGATCCATCTTGTTAAATAGAGTTCATTGTTCAAATTCTAGTACGCCACTGCGTCGAGTATCAGCTGTAGGTAGATCTACATTTCATGAGAAGAAGGGCTTTATACGTATCGTATACTAAGATTACAGGGTGGACGCCCTTATTCCCTGTCCAAAAAATGGAAATAATTTTCTCTTAAGATGATCACTTCAGTTTATTCTATTTGGCCAGCTCTGACAAATAAATGCTTGAAGCGACTGCGACAATGCTGAGTCTTTTTTCTTAGCACATCTTTGAGGATGTTATTACCTCACGGTGTGAGCAATCGGATGCCGCTAGTGCTACGACCAGGCCATATTCAAGTCTACTCCTTTCGATGGCACATAACTGACAAAACGGCAGTCCGAAGGGAAAGCATAGGCGCTATGTCCCTCCAGTGAACTATTATTTTCGAAATAAAACGATTTCTTCATCAACATATTTCTTAAAATTTCTGCTCTTATTTATAACTGCTTGCTTGAGCAAGCTATCTATGTAGCTATATCTATGTAAAGACCGTAATAGCAAATCGTAACTTATTCAGCGAATTAATTGGAAGCACTTTTGAGACGTTGAGAGCAAGCCTGCAAATAAATTTGCAGAACTTGCGACTATGCTGAAATTATATTTATCAGGCTGAAAATAAGTAATACGCTCAATAGCCTATATACTTCTAGGCACGTAGAACCTACGATTCGGCCGAAGAGTCTGACGACTTAGCGGTGTTACTGATGGCTTAATCCGATGAACAAGTTTGTTTTTAAGGAGCTGATGACTGGCATGAGATGGACCGTTCCATCCCGACTAGTACTGGAAATGATCATTGTTTGACGACATCTCGGAAAACTCTGCCTTCCAGGCAGAAAATTTTATAAGTATGCGGCGCGATGTTGATATGACTGGCCTGGCAGAAAGGCGCCGTACTATTCCTTGACACAACACAGTACCCTACTCGATCGTTGTTTTGAGCGTGGTCTTTTTGCAGTTGGAAAATGTACCCGTCTGCAAATAAACGTACTCCGTATAGACAATGACAACAGACTGTGGCTGGGCGCTCTTTCTGGTTGAATGTATTCCAGTGCTCCGCTATTCTATTTCGTAACGTTTTTCCTTTACCTGAATTTTGCAGGGCAGTTTGCTATAATCGCCGAAACGAAGACGGTAAGGCGCGCAGAGGAAGTCGTGTTTGATTAGCGTGACCAGAAGTGTATTTTAAGCAAAACTAGTATATCATTTCAACAGCTTTTCTAACACAGTAGACAATTAATTAAAAAAAAAAAAAGAATTCAGAGTGGCAGTCAATCGTCAGCATTGACTAAATATTCATCCACAACAGGATGGGCATCGCGGACGTTTCCCTAATAACAAAGTCGAATACTGAGCTCATCTCGCTGCCTTATACAGCAATGGGTGGGAAAAAGGCACACATAAAAATCGCGTTGCTACAACAACTTTCAGAAACGAAAACTGTAAGGCTCTCGAGGCCGAGCCTCAGCGATGAAGAAGAAGACGCGCCATATCCGTTTGTTAGTAATAGGCAACCTTCGAGTAGGCCCGTCCACTTCATTTTCAACAAAAAAATCGTTTGCTTTCTAAAGAGCGATTTATCTCGACTACGGTCGACACAAATAGCAACTTACTGTGGCAACATGGCACATGCTCTGAAGAAATCAACATGGGCAGCCTAACTGTTGACCGCATTCCCGTCGGTCTCATGCCTTAATGTGTTAGAAAATGTACTTCAGTTCATGTTAGAGGGCAGTAAATACGCACTCGCTGACATTGCGAGCTTTTCCCCCGCAATATTAATTGCTGCGCGTAATTTGATTTACGAAGATGCGTTTCTTCAAGCGCTACGTATGTTTCGATCTGTGCTTCGTTACGATCCTGCTTTTCCTCAGCTCGAAATGAGCTAGCATTGTGACTGTGGTTGTTTCGACCAGATGTATCGGCATTACAACTAATTAGAACTTATGTTTAACTACTATAAACCTATGCTAAGGCCAGTGCCTCGACAAGTTTTATCGCTATAATCCCTCGAAGCCTCAGGCTGCAGTTATTATGAAGTTCAGTGGTACTTAATAGTAATACGATACTTACCTTTTTTGCTCGCACAGGTGAACGCTTTGGTAAAACTCTTCTTAAAGTTATCGCTGAGAAAGGCATAGAGTACTGGGTTGATGGCCGAGTTGGCGTAAGCAAGACAGCCACTTAAGAGAAACACGGCCACCTGTAACAAGAACACTTCTGCTAGGTTTAGCGTGATAATCGGTATACAGCTGACTACGCATGGGGATAGATTCGCTCCATGGTCCGACGATGTTTACGTACAGTAACGTATCGGAACGATTTGAATGGCATACTTTTTTTTGAAACGCGGCCTGCGAGTGGTGGAATATCAAGCACTCCTACCTGAAATTGTGACCGCTGTACATTCGAAGATGGTGGTCGTAGTATGATGATGATTTGCCCAACCCAATATGGAAGCCAGCAGAAGATGTAACACGTGATCACGGTCAGGACTAGGTAGGTTACTTTTCGATGAGAGCGCTTCTTATTTTTCGATTTCGTCTTCGGGCCCACCTGCAAAAGGAAATATTAACCCAACCTAGGTAAACCTTTAATGCTCGACGTCAGTAACCTCTACCAAATTTTACTTATATGTGCATATGTGTGTGCGGGTCCCTTGGAACTCATAGCTTATATGCATCAAACTCTTTGTGAATTCAAGCATTGTGAATGAGCGCGATAGACTGCGAAATGATCTAATATTGATTGATTGTATAATTCAGAATCGATCGCTAGTGTACGGTTCCGCTTGTGTTTTTTTCAACGAAACCCCTTTATCGATTAATATGATATTAAGCAATCCCTATTCATCACGATTTCGGTCTAAAATGTCAGTAATTATACAGTTATATGTTTCAGTGTCATTGTACCCCACAAACAGAAAGGGGGCAAAGTTGACTAAGGCGTAAGTGCGCAATTAAAAAATGACACCTTTTCGGTTTAGGAAAATTCAGTAACAGTTAAAATAGACGCTGCCTAGATAAAAACTATTTGATATCGTTTAATATAGACCCATTTTTCTGCCTAAACTTCACGGTTTCTATATCTGGGCGTGCATTTGAGATTTTCTTGTATGTTACTTCTGAGGTTATTTGAAGCACATAGAACCCGCCAAATTGTTCCTCGCTTCGTATTCGTCTGGATACAATGCATTTAACTTTGATGACGCCTTATCGTCTCCTCCTGCAGTTCTTCTTAACAAAAGTAATAGGTGAGCTGTCGCGTGACAACATCATTCTATTATGTACATTGTTTGCGGATATTTATCATTTAACCGATCAATTGATCGATATATTGTATTCACGTGTCTATGGATGTGTTAACGGGTCTGGTAAAACGGCACCATCTTTTCCCATGCCATCGTACCTAATTGGTCCAGATGGCGTCTGCTGGGCCTCATGATCCGGTTATAAAGCATAATATTTTTGGTAATGTTCGCGGACATTCTCTCATCGAATATATATATATATTTAATGACAGTGACAATTTTTTTCATAGGCACGTCTTAGTAAAGAATTTCGTTATTATCATGGATGAAGTAACGCAAGGTCGTTAATCATTACTATGATACGGAACACCAAATGTCGCCGGACAATTAGAGAGCAAATAAAAGTAGCTTGTAGGGAGAAGGTAAGGTCCCATCGGCGCCTAATGGCACATCTCCGCCAAGCAGATCACCGTATTCGTACAAACTCCTTTTTTTTATGCCAACAAACAAGGCGTTAGAGCTAATAACCGTGTAAGACACGCTAGACAAGACCGTTTACGGGTATGTTCGTTCACTCAGTGACTGACTGTAGGCGTACGCCGCAGCAGCTGCTCTGTGTAATTGCCTTTGTTCAACAGTGGCTCATGTTGAAAGCTGCTGCCGTCGCCGATGGCGTGCCCAAAAATGTTTACGTCTGCTCCTTGCACGCTGGATGATGTACCATGTAGATGAGAATGTGTCGAATATGAGAATACGAAGAACACAATGGACAAAAAGAGGCAACACCAATACGAGCGTCACGTTGTGCAAGAGGCGGGCTGTGACGACCCTCAGAAACCTTCATGCATAACTGCACTAATCAGCATGGAGGTTAGGGACCAGGGCAACGTTTACCGTAATCTCAGACTGGGCGTGTGCACGTATATTTTTAGAGGAAAAGCAATCAACGCAGAGGGGACGCAGAACGTACGTGAAAGATGAAAGTGAGTGGAGCAGCGCATAGGGTAGTGACTTGGTAAGGCTGAGTGAAGCCCTTTAACAATCGAGGAAACAGCTCGATCATTTAGATGTAGTTTCACTTGTTCTACCTATTTTCGTAGAAAATCAGAAAAAAAAAGTATTCAGAAGAGTCTTGTCGAGTCTCTCGATGTCTTGTCTTTAACACTGAAATAAGTGTTTTGAAGTTCATATCCCGTATTGGAAAGCGTTCATCCAACTCTAAAGATTCCTCGTCGTCTCATGGAGACTTCTAATAAAACGATAACACCGTAATATCCTAATCAGACGCAAAGGATATTGACGTGGATTAGATCTTCAAGGAAGATCATTTTTTTGACGAGCGCAAGGTTCAGGCACAGATTGACATCCTATAAAGCAATAAAACTAGCCACGACCACCACGATAATCTTTATATATATCTGATATATACATGATGATCGATATATACACATATATCTGGGCGTCAGTCGATTTAAGCACTGCGCCAACTAAAGTGGAGCAATTTAAAAATGTACGTCTTTACGTAGCTACTATATTCGAAATGGTAACGATCTTAGCAGAGAGTTCAAAAAAGAATTCAACAGTAATTAGTGTTCACGGGATGGATCCGGACTTAACTAGCCTGGAAAAAGGACAACGTTGTTAGGTACACCTGAGGCGTACCGACGACTTAATTCAAAAATATGTGAGTTTGAACAACGTGGGGTCCATCAGCCGACATGTCGTACATATGATGAAGATTACAAATATTACGTTATATTGCCCCGTCTGCAGATCTCTGATCATGTGACCTTTCGTATCATAGGCCACTTCCTCTGTTTCGTTAATCAACGGTAATTTAGTGTTAGAAGTTAGTGCGAAAACAGGCTCTAATAACAGAAGAGTACTATTGCCAATTAGTTTTTTGAACAGGGGGTGAGCGGTAGCATTGAGCATAAGGGAAGCCATTCATTCATTCATTCATTCATTCATTCAAGGGAGGTCAAAGCTAAAGATTACGACGAATAGTTAGAACAGCGTGCTTTTTACAAGGTACCAGCGTTTATCACGAGAATGTACCGTTTCCACAAGTTGTGGGATAATATTTTAGAGTAAACCATACAATTGTTGATGGCACCTGCCTGAAAGATTTCTAGTTTCTACGTGCCGTTTTTTTGTAAAATACGTTCGGATAATCGTAGACAAAGCTCGCAAATCAATAGAGTAACACATGGTTGCAAAAGCTTTCCGAAGAGAAATTTTGGTGGCCATCATTTTTCAGGCTTTGAAAAACCAAGCGCCTTCAATTACTGCTGTTGATATAATTTTCATCAGTAATGAATTACATGCTACGTCCTGTGACTGTTACCTATGGACATATGTTGTGAATATGTTTGTATATACTATGTTGCCATACGGGCATTCTGCTAAACAATTTATGCTGCGCAAAAACTAGAAGATAATCTTTTAGGAGTCGTCATTTTTGATTTACTGTTGGGCCTTGAAAGTCAAGAAAAGTGGGCTGTCGCTATAGCCGAACAAGTGTTGTATTTGTACTCGATCTGCTGATAGCAAGCCTGTATTTAAGGCACACGAACGTATATCGAGCATTTAGCTTAATCGCAGAGAAGTCCCCTATACGTAAAATAGGTCGTCTTCTATCTTATGTCTATTAAGCTCCGAATTTACATTTCACGGACCTGTGCCACCCAATGGAGGAGGTCTGTGTCTACAAGAGTGCTATCAAGATCGTATAGGAACAGAGTCAAACAGCAAGTTGAAGCAAACCCGCTCCTCGTTCTTTTTGTCGAGTTAGATCAGAATTACACAAATACCAGGTCTCTCTCTTGAAGGCAGCTCGAGCCCACAGTTTCACCCCTGTAAAGGTATGAAGGCAAGAATCAAAATAAGACATAGTGGGCAAAAGCCGAATGATTGCTCCATAACAGTTAATAACCGTTTTGTTCATATGTATTACAAATGAACTCGTTGATTTTATTTTAGGCGTACATAGATCTTTTTCAAGACACGCCTGAGGGAATAGTATCCAATGGTCAACCAGATTCAAAAAATCATATCTAGCTTTCTTCAGATAATACATTCTGTTAACAGCTTCATTAAATACGTATATGAAGATATCGCTACAACTTACCGGAAAGCTTAATTTAAATTTTTATCGATCTTCTAAGGAAAAGTATATCAAATGAAGATACTCATTCATTTTATAAAAATATCGACACTCATACGTATGGGTTGGCTCTCGTCCAACATATCGGTATCAAAGAACTCATTCGTAGCAGGAAGCTTTGCATTTATAATTTTTTTTTATCTTTGGCGCGCAGATGATTTGCAGATTGTTCAGAGGAATGAACTCGAATCAGTTGCTTATAGGTAATTTTCCATAAACGAAGTCTACCTGATAAAAAGCTAGTAAAACCAAAACTTTATTAAATAATTGATCTCGAGTCCTCCACAAATGGCAGAGATGGCCAAGCAAGTCCGCTTTGAAGTTGTCATTCCAAAAACTCGTTTGCCACCGTCCGTCCTATGATGAGTAAAAGCATTAACAGTGATTACAATAGCATTGGACCTTAAGGTGGGATGAACTGACATAGGGCTAGCTTTTATGACGGAACTGGGTCTAAAAGCGCTCAATGCTAAAGTAGGGTCGCGAAATGTGGTGTCGAGGCCCACATGGTTAAGCCGACGTATGTACTTAAACAACCGAAATATGTATACTCTAGCATATTTAGATGATGCTATTTACCTTTGTACTGCTACGTTAGCTAAAGCCGTACACAATTTGTATTGTAGATACCATTATCATAAGAGCTATAATTGTATTAAAAACAGCAGCTTGTAAAAATTTCCTTAAATTAGTACAGAAACTCAGATTGGTAAAGCATCTTCTATGATTATTTCAGTCATATAATGAATACCATATAAATAAGTCATATTAGAAATTATCTAAACAACGTCAAAAACATAAATATATACATACGCAATAGAAATGTTGATTTTGGTACATTCGCAAAGTTACTACAATATTTGGTGTACGGTGGTGACTTTTGGTCGGTCGATACGCGCGAAGACGACAAGGGTAGATGTCATTCTAAATAATTCTCAGATTTACGATTAATAGATAGACGAATAATAGATAGATAGCAGGGCCCGACATTCACCGCCGAAGTTCACATGACCCAACCAATGAAAAAGGGTAGGTTTCGTTGTAATACGGATAGTAATTTCGGCCACATATAGCGTCTGCTAGTTGTACCCTGTATTTAGCCACTTGTTTTGGACTTTAGAATGCGTTCCTAATGAACGG